TGTAATAAAAGTTAACATAATGGAAGGAACCTCAAATGGACATCTTCAATAAACAACTTTAATGCAATATCAATACTGTGAGAAATATTATTAGATGAAATAATGCTGTAAAGAATGTTATCAATGCAGTTATAATGATGCAGATTATATGGCAGCAATAAAAGCATTTCTGTATCTCCACAGTTTCATTGTACATGTTGCAGTTTGTGGCACCAATTTAGGACTATTCCAGTAAATTTGACTTAATTGCACTTAGAACTGCACCATAGCGGTGAAATGTGGCCTGCTTGTGTCGTTGCCTCCAACCAAAGCGGGGGCGGAGCTTAGTTCTCTCACTACAGAGTTGGAATTTAATCAGAATGTATTAAAATTATACTAGGAGAGAGAAGAGCGAGGTGTGGTTGGAAGAACGACTCATCAGCCCTTTGTGACATGCTTGGTTCAGATAACTTATAAAAAGGTGATGAAGTGCTGCTCGCCACCATTTACTCGTCTGTCTTCTTGTCACATAAGTCAGTGAACAGAGCAGCCGAGGTACAGCCGAGTGTTCCTGAGGGAGTTTCTCTGAGCGGCTCCGCTCAGCGCGCTGCTCGCCAGTGCTGCAAATGTTTTAATGTCATCCTGTAAATTGGTGAACCAGTATATTAGTCCTACATTAAGACTAATTCTGCGACGCATGTGCCACCAGGTGTGGAGAAACTGGTGCGTCATCTGCACAAGCACAAAATCCCCACTGCAGTGGCGACCAGCTCAGCCGGCGTGACGTTCAAGTTGAAGACGAGTCAACACAAAGAGTTCTTCGCTGTCTTTGATCACATTGTGCTGGGTGACGATCCAGATGTGAAGAATGGCAAACCTCAGCCAGACTCCTTCCTGGTGTGTGCCGGCCGCTTCGATCCCCCAGCTGCTCCGGAGAAGGTGAGGAACGCACGGTGCACAGCGCACAGGGCACAGCGCACGGTGCGCCGTCTGTTTGCTGTTCGTCATTCGCAACATTCCAGATCAAAGTAACAACAATCTCTTTTGTAACATTTGTTTTTGTTTTTTCACAAAACTCGTCAAAAATAGGAACCAAAAGTTCTTTACGTTTATAATGAGATAGTGAAACATTATTTAAAATAATTAATATTAAAACAATGTTTAAAAAAATTGTTTTTTTGTCCTCTTATTATAATTTTTAGTTGTCTTAGATTTTCATGTAATAGATAACAGCAACATGATGATTTTTTTATGCAGGTGAACTTATTTATTATCAGCAGGTGAACAAAATCTGTACAGTTAAAAAAACATTCTTGTCTGCTTTGCCTCGAAATGTTTGATCCAGTGCTGTTATACAGTGTGTGTGTGTGTGTGTGTGTGTGTCCGCAGTGCTGCTAATACACTGAAAACACACAGACAGGCACTGATACTCACTAACTCGCTGTTCTTCTCTTTAATGATCTTTGTTTCTGCTTCTGGTAAAAATATCTTTGTGTCTAATAAAGAATGATTTCAGTATGTAGAACACAGTAACGAGCGAGAACAATCCACTGAAACGTCGTCACATCAGAGGATTTCCTTTACTGTAAGTTCTCAAATTCAAACTGATAGACAAATTAAATAAATAAATCAATAAACAGTGGTTATCAATAGAAACCGCTGTTGGGCTGCTTTGTAAAAAG